AGGAGAAGCGAGCGGAGGTGAGGGCGGCCCGGGCCTCCCCCGGGTCATGGCCCTCACCCAGGCGGTGCACGGGAGGGGCGTGTCTTCCCCCGCCGCTCCGGTAGCGGCGATAACGGCCCTGGCCGCCGCCAGCACCAGGAGCGCGCCGAGGATGCGCTGGTTAACGGGGTGATGCTGAGGAGGGGCTGCCCCCGGCCTTGCATCCCAGCTCCTGCCACCTCTGGGTTTCCCGTGTCCAGGCCCGCAGCCCGCGGTCAGGCCTCGGAGGTTTCGGGGTGCACCGGCAGCGCTCGGGCTGGGTCATGGCAAAGCAAAACACCACCGGGGGTGATTGGGCTCCTCTGTCCCAGTACAAGCACCAGGTGGTGGCCCCCTGAGCCCTGGATGGGTATAGGCTGTGGCCACGAAGCGTGCTTGAACGTGAATGGGATTCCCCTCCTCGTGGTTAGGACTCACACTTCTGCATGCCTGCTGTGGGATTCTGTGACATATCCATGCATACACACGTACATACCCACCCAAATCCTGCCTTGGATAACGGCTTGGGAGATCAGGATGGGTGTACCTTCAAGGGGACCTGAGAGTAAACCACTTGCCCTTTCTTCGTGTATAACACACAAAGGCCTTTTCTGAAAACTGGGAGTCCAGGAGCTGGATCTCCACAAAAGCCACTGGGAGTTTTCTCTGGGAAGCAGTCACGGGGCTGATTCCAGTAGGATCCTGGCATGGGCACAGATAGGGAGTACAGAGAATCAAGGCTCCTCTAGAGACACGAGGTGGCCTGGAGTAACTGAGTCTCAGTGCTCTTTTTTCTCTCCTCCCCCTCTCCCACTCCCCTCCCTGTTTCCTTTACCAGCTTGTGAACACCTTCTTTAGTTTCCTGAGGCGTAAAACGGATTTCTTCACTGGTGGAGAAGATGGAGTAGCAGAGAAGGTAAAAAACCAAATCCTCAAGCTTTTATATCTTTTAACTTACGTGCCACCCGTGTCTGTGCCATGCTAAGACTTCCCTGCCTGAAAAACTGCAAGCATTCCAGTGCACTTGGGGACCATGATGCTGACGAAATACATGACTGAAGCAAGGTAATAACGAGCTGCCCCTATCTGAGGTGAGGCACTCATGATTGCCTGTTCGAATGGTAGCGATGGAGCGGGGGGTTTTTGCCACGCTCTGGCCAAAGGCTTGTTTGGAAAGCAAATCTGCCAGACACACTGACTTAACGGTGACAGACACCGCAGCGTTGATAACCCCGGGTTACCTTGTTTGCTCATCTCGGAAAAAAGCACAAAGTCCACATCTCTGCGTATGCCCCTGCACCTTTGTCTCGGGGCTGCGGTGCACGTATGGAGCGGGTGTGCTGAGGAGGCAGCCGAGGGGGCCTCGTTGGCAGCCTGAGCAGCTCCTGTCTGGTGGGTAATTCCTCACCCAGCTCAAGAGCAAAAAATCAAAATAGTTTCACTGTAGGGA